AAAAAACGCATCTTCGCACGGGCAGCCCGTGCGTTGGCCAATTTTTTATGTTTCAGCGGGCCTACTACTCGAGCAATGTAATCGGGTCAAAAATGACACGAGGTTAGATAATGACTTTAATAGCAGCTACTTGTTCATATATAGTAGGGAGTTTTTACCAAACGAAGCGATGCAGAGCACGGATTTCTGAACAGAAGGTAATGCTTCGGCATAGTTAATGTCGATATCCAATGATTCCAGTGATCGCGATACATCAACGCTGCCAATACCATCGATGATTTGTCGCCGATTTCTTGGTTGCAACGCGCAAGCTGGTCGGGAGCACTCGATTCCGGGCTCTTTGATCGATATTGTTATCTGGAGAAGTTTGCATTTCAGTCCCGATCCAACTCAAAATATCTTCAAATCAATGGGCGCATCGGCTTTCTAATAGAAGAATATACATAGACGGATCCAGGACGGACTGTTGGAGAGAGAGGGGAGTGAGAAGGAGAGTGCCCTTCCCCGCTCTGGAACTATGCAGAAACTAGGAATACAGTTGTAACATTGCTACTTAGAGTTACTTTAAGCTTTAGTTTGCTTCAGTTTTAGTTTTAGATTAGAGAGAAGGGTGTCCAGCATGTATAAAAGCTGCAACAGCTATTTTTTGAAGTATAAAAAATTATCGATAGTTTTGCTCGTAATGGCAGACTGATGCAAAAAACAGTTGTTTGTCAAGCAAAATCCTTGATTTTTTAGATTGGTGAGAATGATTTTTTCGGGAGCACTTTTAAGCATTTATTTTGAGGATCTCGCATGTAAAATAAGTGGCTGGGCTCTTAGGGCATTCTACATTTTCCAAACCGTAACCCACTGCCTCACATATCTGAGTAGGCCATAATGCGGTTACATTGGGGCTGCAATTTTTTTTGCTGGTTTGATTAGTTGAAAATCATAACAGCTTTCCCAGTTGCTTTGACCAATGCATTGCATCGGCTATTGGTCAGTCTGCTGGTGATCCTGATGTCTCTTAAAGGGTTTACCAACTTACCGGGCTATCTCAACAAACCCTCAGTTGTTTCGAAATTTCGTTGGGTGTGTGCGTGATGTGTTTGTGTGCGTGCGTGTGTGCTGAACATCAGTGTTTCGTTTTGAACATTGGAACCCTTCGAGTACAGTGAGATAGCTGTTTTATCGACTGAGAATTTTTTAGTTTTGATGATAATAAATCATTAATAAATTGTTTTTCCAAAGTTTTAATTTAGGGTCTGTCATAATCAAGCTATTTTGTGCCAGTGTCCTCTAGCAACCACGCAATCATCGCAGCCCTTTGTGAGAGTTTGAATGAGGTCAAAATGAAATAGTGAATGAAGAGTTTGATAAAATCTTCAAAATGAAATGGGAGCAAGCATATTAAAACACACTGAATTTTAATGTTTTTTTTCTTGAAAATGCATCTCATTGACTTAATGATTACAAAAATTTTCAAAAAAAGACAGTTGTTAATCAAGTTTTCATGAATTCCTTTTTTTTTTTGATGAATTGAACGTGGATGACAAGGACCGATGTGTCAAATGTCATCTCTCCTTTATTTGAAGGCATGTGAATAAACCTTTGTTTTTGAGTTCTTTTTTTTTAAAAAAGACATTTCTATATTTTTTGCAGTAGCACCTATACGCAAAACAGACAGTTGATATCAACGGAGATATGCCACTTAGAATTGAAGGGCTTGGCATACCCAACAAACATAACACTTTTTATGCGTTTTTTGCAGCTGTGCAGTGCAGAAAACGCGTATTGATGAGAGGTTATCTGTGTGCGTATGTGTGTGCATTTATGTATGTATGTATATATCTGTGTGTGTCTGTGTGTTCATCTGTAGCAATTTTTCATCTCGAGAGCTACAAAAGCTACGGGGCTGAAATTTTGGAAACTTAATCTACATGCATGTACGGGCCCCAATCCCCAAAATGGGCGCTTTTACCCGTGTGGTAACCATGTACGAGCCCGCTAAAATTTTTTGCGGGCAAGCTGCTAACTCGGGAACCAGGAATGCTGGGGCTGAAATTTTAAGGGGACGTCCCCCGTCCAAGTAGGTATTAATGAGCTCAAAGCAAGCCCCCGGGTAAGCGTGGTACCCACGTACGGGTCCGTCAAAATTTTTTCCGGGTAAGTCGCTAGCTCGGGGATCTGAGAAGCTAGAAGGCCGAAATGTTAAGGAGATGTCCCTCGTTCAGGTGAGTATTAATGAGCTCAAACCCAGCCCCCGGGTAAGCGTAATACCCACTTACGGGCCCGCCAAAACTTTTTTCGGATAAGTCGTTAACTCGAGAATTTGAAAAGCTGGAAGACTGTAATTTTAAGGGCAAATTTCCCGTCCACCTCAATCTCACTGAGCTCAAACCCAGCCCCGGGTATGCGTGGTACCCACGTATGGGTCCGTGAAAGTTTTTTTTGGGTAAGTTGATAGTCGGGAAACTGAGAAGTAGAAGACTGGAATTTTGAAGGGATGTTTCCTGACAGTCCTCGCGGCCAGTCTGAAATCTGTCGGAAAAAACACTGCCGTTAGCGGCAAATATCTGCACGGAACTATGCAAAAAACGCATCTTCGCATGGGCAGCCTGTGTGTTGGCCAATCATTTTCACTTCAGTGCGTATAAGATCAAGAGAGGAGTAAGGCAAAATGGTACTACATTGCCAAGGCTTCTTACGGCCTGCCCTGAAACGGTATTTCGGAAGCTGGAATATCACTAACATGAGATTCTTGCACCGACTCTCAAGGCGGTCTCTGGGCATTCCTAATATTTTAGTACTTTTTATGCGTTTTTTGCAGCTACGCGATGCAAAAAAGCAAATTGTCGAGGGGTTGTCTGTGTGTGCATGTGTGTCTGTGTGTGCGCCTGTAACGAGTTTTCATCTCGAGATCCACAAAAGCTACAAGGCTGA